TTTGTCATAAATTTAAATAATTGTAGAGAGACACATTTCCTCACTTAATAAAAAAATAATTATTACACATTTACTATGCATTAGTTAAGATTCTTCAGAGAAATAGAACCAATAGGATGTTTATATAGGAAGCAATGAGATTTATTTTAAAGAATTGGCATATGTGATTATGGCGACTAGCAAGACCCACATTTCAGAGCAAGCCAGCAAGCTGGAAATTTCAGAATGAGCTGTTGTTGCGGTCTTGAGTCCAAAAGTAGTTTGGAGGCTGAATTCTTTTCAGAGGATCTCAGTATTTTTCCTTAAGGCCTTTAACTGATTAGATGAGGCCCACCCATATTATGTTGGATAATCTGCTCTACTCAGAGTCTACTGATTTAAATGTTAATTGCATCTTAAAAAATACCTTCACAGCAACCTCTAGACGGTGTTTGACCGTCTGGGCACCATAGTGTAGCCAAATTAACTCATAAATTTAACCATCAGACTACATGTCAGGAACTGTGTGGGCTTGGAGGTTATACTGGGGAACAGTCAAGGTTGGGAGACACCCAACGAACAGCTGACCACTCAAACATGAATTACACACTTCCCAAGTGCCAGAAATGAAAAGTGTGGGTACTTTGAGAAATTATAGCAGAGAAGCCTAACCCAGCCTGAGGGACTTGAAGAGGCTCCCCTGAGAAAGTGACATTCAGGCTGGGGCCTAAAAAGTGAAAAATGGGTTAACCAAGCAGAGATGGGAGGAGAGGTTTCCAAGCAGAGGAAAAAGTCCTAAAGTAGAAGGAGCACACCAAGAGCTGAGATAAGACCACCATGTTGGGTACTGGGCCGTTTGAAAGGGGAGAAGCCAGATCCTTTGGATCTTCTAGATGAGATTTGCCATGGACAGGCTTCAGGTAAGACCAAGATTATGAAAAGCCTGTCTGTATGTTCTGTGGCTAATGGATTGGAAGGGTTAAGAGTGCTGCAGGATGACCAGTTCGGGGACTAGATGGTGGTGCAGGTTGAGGTGAAGATGGTGAGAGTTGAATGAGCTCAAAAGATATTTTGGCAGATATTTAGGGCCACATGATGATTAGTTATGGGAGTTAAAGGAAAAGTAGATATGAAGGAGATTGCGCACTCTCAAGCTTGCGCAGCACTGTGGATGAAGGTCTCATGGTGCTGCTTGTCATGAAGGAATGTTGGCAAAGGAGTCTGGGCTCAGTAAGGGGAGTAGAGTTAGAGGCACTTGGGGTGTAGCCAGGTGGAGACATCTAATAGGTAGTTGGACATGTAACTCTGAGAGTCTAAAAGACACCTAGGATGAGAGAACTGCAACTATGAGAATGGATTTGTCTGCACAGGGAGAGACTATGATAAAAAAAGAGAGGAGGCCAAAGACCGAGCTCAGAGCAACTCAGAACTGAGGGCCAGTTCCAGAAGGAGAATGACCTGAGAGACAGGGAAAAAACTAGCATCGTCCAAGTCAGCAACTGTTGCATCTCTCTCTCTCTCTCTCTCTCACTCTCTGCCCCCCCCCCCCACCACAACTGGGAAAGTTTTTCTCTTTTTAAGGACTCATGTGATTAGGTCAGGCTCACCCAGATAATCCAGGATAATCAACCAAATTCAAGCTTTTTAGCCTTGTTCACATCTGTAACCTTAATTCCATTTGCCATGTAACCCAACATATTCACGTGTTCCGGACATAAGAATGTGCACACCTTGAGGGGGACGTTATTCTTCCCACCATCAAAACAAGTATGTGCAGAGCTATCAGAAGCCGCAGGAGAGAGAAACTGAAAATGGTCCAGCTGGATGTGACACATGGAAATAAACAAGAGCAAGTCTAGTGGATTCGGGATCATGCAAAATAGGCTAAAAAATTAAATTAGGGGGCTTAGAAATTGATAATTTTTTTTCAAGAAATCCAACTGTGAATAAGAAATGCAGGTCTTGAAACCCACTTAAGCATGAGTGAATATTTATTAGGACTGGAAGACTCATTGTCTATATTTAGAGTTTGGCTGGTTGTAGCAAGAATTCTACCCTCCCTAATTCCAGAAAGCCTCTTTTTGTATCGTGAATATCTGATGGAAAATGAACAAGGAAATAATTAACGTTAACAAATAAAAATAAAACTTAGAAGATTCTTGCTAACGGTGACAATGAAACAACTATACATTCCGAAACTCCCAATGTTTATTTCCACTTTTAAAAAGAGTAATTATCATGTGGTTTTAGATACATGAGTTCCAGGGCAATTAATCATCTAATAAATGTGTCTCTAACAAGCATTTGCTAATAGCTTGATGTTGGCAAAAATAATGTGTTTCAAATCTGCTGCCTCTGAAGCCAAAAGATTTCAACATAATATCTGGGCTGGTGAGGGTTGTGCTTGAAATGAGAATCAGTGTTAATATGAAAGAAAAAAATAAATGGAATACAAAAGGAGAAAACTGCTCTAATACTTATAAATCAGTAATAGTTAACAGTTATTGGGTGAGTAACTGATTCCCAGTGCTATTCTGGGAGTTGAATATTAGCTCGTTGAAACAGAAGACGCTCCCACCAGTTGGTGTGAACGCTATCCCCATTTTACAAATATGGAAACTGAGGCAGCACACAACAAGACTAGGGTTCCAGTCTAATCTTGTCCAATCCAATCAGGCTATCAATAGCAATCGAGAACAGCTAACACTTACTGTCTACCAAGTACCTGTTTTAAGTACCTTACAGACTAAGTCATTACATTTTTGCCACAGCCCTGTGAGATAGGCATCTCCCTGCCATCTCCTGAGGAAGAAACTGAGGCACAGATAGGTAAATTATTAATTTCGATGGGCTTCCCTCTCTGAACTTCACCTTAACCTTCCTTAAGTTAGGAATTAGATGATCTATGCAGTTTCTTTCAGCTGCCCAGTGCTGTCAGTATCACGTGCCTGAATTCCTTCTGTTCTTTTGACAAGTCTTTTAACGTTTATTTACTTTTGAGACAGAGAGAGACAGAGCATGAACGGGGGAGGGTCAGAGAGAGAGGGAGACACAGAATCCGAAACAGGCTCCAGGCTCTGAGCTGTCAGCACAGAGCCCGACGCGGGGCACAAACTCACGAACCGCGAGATCATGACCTGAGCCGAAGTCGGACGCTTAACCGACCGAGCCACGCAGACGCCCCTCTTTTGACAAATCTTTATTATGTTTTTACGTATGTTTTGTTTGCTACATTTTATTATTGTAATGATTACTAAATATTTATAATAAGCATTTATTGAGCATTATTATTATTGTTGAGCATTTATTTATTGTGACATGCTAGGTGCTAAGTTGAGTGCATTCCTTGGTTTACTTTACTTAACCTTCACACAGGCTTTGCTTTTAATTATGGCTACTCTCCCTAGCTGACAGATGAACAAACTGAGCTTAGAAACATTTAGAACTTTATTCAAGTCACACAACTAATAATTGGGAGACCTTGGGATCAAACCCAGAAAACCTACTCTGGAACTTAAGTCCCCTTAACACTTAGCTCTAATGTGTGGTTTCCACATCAGAAACATAGTCAGGTCAGACTTAAGCAAAGATGAATATTTGGTCTACATATAAAAATATGAAATAGGGTGAAGTAAGTGATATGTCTACCCAAAATCATATCTCTCAGACATAACCAAGTAGTAATTAACACAATGAGAACTTTCCCTTGGGTTTTCTGTGTGGGGTCCAAAGGAGCCCATACCATATACCAGAGGGCACAATTATTTCAACACTTATTCCCTGACAGTGGACAGATTATCTCCTGGCAGCTAATAGAATCCTGAAGGAATGCACTTGGGGTGTCTGAAATGCAGGTGAGGATTTTAGAGCTTTGTTTACAACTGAACAGAGCTGGTGAGGTGTCAGCAGGCCTCAGGTATGTATGTGCAAACCTGTGAATTGTGTGTGTGCACAGTGGCCTCAAGCAGGGAAGGGATTGCAGAGCGTTGAGTGTCAGACTCTAGAGAAAACACATTATACACAGGGAAGGAAGCAGCCAATTGAATATAAGAAGGTATTAAAGAAGAAATATGACCCAAAACATCTGCCTCAATTTGGCTGTAAGCTGAGGGCTAAGACTGTCCTGAGGTCCATCCCCACTTAGGAAATGCTTACAAACATCGAGGTAGTGGGAAATGACTTGTAATAAAATCATGGATTTAAAAGGCTTGTGAAATCGTCTAGCCTAAACTTTGGCCAGGGCACAAGCCATGTGAATTGTCTCAGAGAGCAGTTATTCAGGGCCCATTTTAAAGGTCAGCCCAGAATGAGATTCCACAATCACCATTCCAGCAATGACCCATACTCGCTCCCAAGAAAGCTATTACTTATCTAAATCCTCATACATCAATTTAATCTCCACCTTGCCCTCCAGAACAATGAAACAGGGATGTATTACCATCCACCTAAAAGACCTTCATGTTCCTAGAGCTATCATCAAATCACCCTATAATCTCTCTCTTTCCAACACCATTCCATTGGTTCCTTCAATCCCACGTTATTTGTCTGGATTCCTTTCTCAACTGCACATCTGCCAACACAGAAGAAGACTGTCATTTGTGCTACTCATAGGATGATATCCTATGATCGTCATCATTTACTGTTTGGTTAGAAGTAGGCAAGTAAAATTTGTGCCCACAGTAGGGTAAGTATTTGGTGAACAACAAGGAAGTCCCAAGCAGGTTAACATTCCTTGAAAATTCACAGCAGATTTCTTTCCTTTGCTTATCTGGGTCTTGGTCCTTAATGACCAAAACAATAATAGTAATAGTATTCTTATATAGAGCTATTGTGAGGACAAATCAGGGATCATTTGAGAATGTCTCACTATGTCATTAATGCTATGAACACCCTTCATGAATCATGAATCTTACATCTGGGTCCCTATACAACAGCTAATAGTGAAGGGTGATTACATTATTCGTTTTAATCAACATTTACAATTGTCCAAATTGGCTAACCTTTTCATAATTTGTTCACAGAAATGTAACCTGGAATAGCTTAGCTATCCCAGATACACATTGCTCACCAGAGCTGGAGGAAGGCTACCAGTGCCCCCCGGGATTTAAATGCATGGACCTCGAAGACCTGGGACTTAGCAGGCAAGAGCTGGGCTACAGTGGCTTTAATGAGATAGGTCTGTCTTACCACTAAAACACATTTTCAGTTTCTGTTTTAAAATGTTTATGAAATGGAGAGAATACTTGTTTAACTGATGTTTGCTGTTGAGACTGGCTATAGCATTTAAGAAACACAACTACAGATTTTAATGCTCTTCTTGGGTTGTGATACAGTCTGCCTTACAGTCTGTAAAGACAGTCTGCTTATATGGATATTCATCAGTGTCTGTAGAGGGTTCAGTATCCCTTATTTTAGAGTATTTTGATTCCTAATTACAGCACTTAAAACTGTTTGTTGAGCAAGGTTCAGGGCTTGTTGACTGAAAGATAAGCAGGGTTGGGTTTTGTTCCACTTGTAACTGTGAACCAGTAGGCAAGGTAAGTCTTAAATAACTGAAGTAGTAGTCATTGATGAGTGCATGAAAACTGGAAAGTAACCCTGGAATGGAAAATAGCTAATGAAATACTTAATGAATATGCATCAACTATATAATAGACATATGGGAAATGATGATATGCTCAAATGTATACATTTATCTGTGGCTTGTGCTATTAAGTCCTGAAATGTGCCATTGTATACAGTAATGAAATTACTTAACATCTGCCATTTAGTTTATATCATTGCATTTATTACCATTTCATGCAAGGGGTGCATGTTTCATTATTGAGACAAACAAAAACCTAAGCATTCTAAACAATTATTTTATGCTTTGAGAACTTGTCTTAGCTCAGGCTGCCATGACAAAATACCATAGACTGGGTAGCATAAATAACATCACTTCATTTCTCCATTTCCCTCTAGTCTGGGGCCTGGAAGTCCAAGGTCAGGGTGCCAGCATGGTCGGTTCTGGTGAAGCCCCTTTCTTTGGTTCACACATGGGTGTCTTCTCACTGTATTCTTATTTGGTGGTGAGGATAGGGAAAGAGAGAGAAAGAGACAGTGAGTAGGAAGAAAGGAAGAAGAAGGAGAGGGAGAAAGCTCTCTGACGTCTTCTTGTAAGGGAAAAAATCCCATCAGGAGAGATCTCATCTAAATTGAATTAACTTTCCAAAGGCCCCATCTCCTAACACCATCCCATCTCAGTGGGGGTTAGGACTTCAGCATATGAATTTGGGGTGGAAGCAACACAAATGTTCAGTCCCTAAGGGAATTGTTATCAGAATCATTTGGAAACAACAACAACAACAACAACAACAATTTTCCCTTCAAGTTTCAAGGCCCAGGTGCATTTAAGAGAGTTCTAGACACTTTTACCCAGGACCTAAGAGAATCTCAGTGTTTAACAGTGTGGTGGTTGTGCTTCTTTGGTAGCCAAATCTACTTCCTGACTTTTTGTGCGGTTTCATAACTCCGCGAGCAGCTGTACAATGCGGGGTGTCATGGCCAGGCAAGAGAGCGTGAGCTCCTGTCAACCCTGGATTGCCACTGCTATAGACACAGCCAATCAGTCTTTATACATTAGGAAAAGTAGCTGATAAATCTTCCTCTCACCCTGGTGTTCCATCACAGCAGCCCACAGATGGTGTTATGCGGGATGGCATAATGAACTCTGGGCTGGGTGCTGGAATTTCAGAGAGAATATGTGAAGATCTTGCACTGATTGAGGAATACTCTTCTGCTGTCTGAACTAAAAAACCACAAGGCTAAAGCTTTTAGATAGAGTATAATAGTGAACTTGGGCTGAAAGCCACAAATAGTTGGTAGTTTTAAAACAGTGAGTTTTGCAAATAACGTTCCTAAATTTGTATTCTTATGTTTTTAATATGCCCTCAGAGCGTATTTCCAGCATTGTGTTTAGATGGGTAATCGTTCACCCCTTTGGCCAATGGTACACTTTCCTACGTCACCAAATTTAGAAGCCAGCAGATGTGAAGGCATTTCGATTTGCTGTACTCTCTTCAACTTATCTGGCTTTGGAATCAATCTTATATCCTTCCCCTGGATATAAGGACTTTTACAGATTATGCTGATGACTTTCAGGGATGAGCAGGAAATCACAGGCGTGGTTTGGGAGATGGGATGTATATTTTGGGTAAGCCGTGTGGACCGAGTTCCAGGAATCCTGACCCCTTGGGCACAGCTAGAATGGGCTCATCAGAGCCTCTAACTCTTTAAAGGGCTAACTGGGTGTGCCCGTGTCTTGATGGAGGGTGGCCAGCATTCAGTAGTTAGACTCTCCTTGCACAAAAATCTCTATTCCTATAGAATCATATTGCTAAATCAAATCACTTCCTGGCCATTTTAAATGCAGCAATTGTGCCTAAACTCAGAATACTGAATTATAGTCAAGCTGATTCAGCTTTTTTCGCTGTGACTTACAATGACTTCAACCACTGTGCAGTACTCTCTTTGAGAAGGCAAGTTTTCTCACAGAGCGTATTGGCTTCAGAAGCCTGATTCTAGGAGAGAACTGCCCCGGGGGCAGCAGGCCTCCACTAAGGCAATAATCTTACTGTTTATTTGCACATTTATCTCCCAAGGATTTAAGCTCCTTGAAAACAGGAAGTACATCTTTTCATCTCCATGCCTTCAGGGCCTGGCACAAGGCCGAGCTCTATAAATATTTACTAATGGACTGAACAAAGTATATGTCCTTTTGAATTTGATGGTAACCAGTCATGTTTGTGTTAGGATATAGAGCCATAATAGAGAATTAAATTGTTTTCTTGTTGTTCTTTCCCCTGGTTTTGTCTGCTTTTGTTGGCAGTATTCATTATTCCTCATGACTTGCTTTTCTATACAAGCTTAATTTGGTCTGTTTGCTTCTTTTTCTCAAATGATGCTTGAGTTCAACACCACTGTATGACTAATGGTTACATAATGAAATGTTGACTTTGTACTGTAACCCAAAAAGTTTAAAATGGTCGCTATACCTTTGACTGAATTGCTAACTAACTTTCTGATATTATGCATCTTTGTAGATACACAAATTGTGATATTTTAGATCATCTCAAAGGTTTTACGGAAACAAAATAAAATTTTCCTCCAAAATGAGGAAAAGAAATTATTTTACTAGGCACACATGATCATCTCTTTTTGCCTGCAGTTGAATTTAAAACAATTAGGTGATTTATTGTGCATATAAATTTGGTCAATGTACTTTATATGTAAGTAAGCATGATTAATTAAAAAGGAGCACATTTCCTCTTCTTACTAATCAAATTGTCATATAATACATTGAATTTCAACTCATTTATAACATTTCATTTATAAGTAGCTTTATGTCTCGTTAAAATTGATGATGTTGAAAAACTCACTTTTTAAAATACATGAAAAGCCAGTCATTAAAGTAGAAAATTTATAAAGAGCTTCAACTGTAAAATTACTGTAAAGACACCCTTGCATCTCTAAAGTCATCAAATATCAAGAAGACTGAGAAATAGAAATGCAGTTTCCATATTTAAGGACTCTGAAAACCTGGCACTAATAAACCACACATCAGAAGACCAGGTGTCTAACAGATTACTTCCTGAAAGGATTCTGGCAACTGAGGATCTCAGGCAGAGCCAGCAGAATGCTGACATTCTCAAATAAAGAATATTCCCAGAGGAGCAGAGTAGTTCTCTGTTTGAGTCAGGACATCAGTGTGTGGCTGACCATGGGAACTTTCTGGGACTCCATGTGACATCTCAAAGTGGAGGCTCTCGTTCCTGCAAGCATTTAGTAGAGAAATAAAGAAGATGAGATCCTCAGTCTGGGGGAGGAGCCCGATGCTGCTGCTCCCTGTCGATGAAGACAAGGGCCCGATCTGGCTAGCCCTTAAGATGACATGGGGAGGCTTTTAAAACATAATACTTCTCAAGCACCACTCTCAGCCCAGTTAAATGAAAACCTTGGGATGATCCAAGGCATAGATGGTTTTTAGAAGCTCGGCGTGTGTTCTAAATGTTCATGCACCATTGTGAACACTTGGACTGAAGCAGCACTGATACACCCACACACACCTGTCTTAGAAAAAACTTCCTTTCTCTCCTGCCTGACAAATACCTGATCCTCTGAAAGTGACTTCACAGATGAGGAATGATCAAAAAGAATGAGGACCGTATCTATAAAAATGCACATTTAGGTATGTGTAAAACTGAAAAAAAAATCCAAGAGATATAATTTTTAAAAATTGCAGAAAAAGACGACCTAAATATATGGATTTAAAGGGTACAGCTGTCGCAGTAAATGATCATAGAACAATCAACGCTGAGGCATTTCTTACTAAAGTTGCTGGAATTCAGAGCTAAAGAAAGCATCCCATGCACATCCAGAAAAAAATGATCAAGTCAGTTCTTTTTCTTTTTTTCCCAAGCAATACTCAAACAAGTGTAGCTCCGGGAGGAACCCAGGGCCTCCAGTCAGTTCTAAGGGAAGCCATCGTTGAGAACTGAAACTTTGTCAGGACTCAAGTCCAGGATACAAGGACACAGGGCTTACAAAGTCCTCAGAGAAAGAACGTGTCAAACTAGTTTCGGTTACCATTGAAGAAACAAGAACTCAGAGACTGCATTTTCCATTAATCCTTCTTGAAGACATTCGGCCAATCAAGAATGACAGGTCTTGAGCCTAGTCTCTAGTATCTACTCAGTGTAAAAACAAAGCTAATACAACTTCAGGATTTACAGAATATATAAATATTACAAATTATGGCTGTGTAGAAGAGATGAGAAGAAAATCCAGGGAGGCAGTGTAGTGATGTTAGTGTCCTTATACTCAGCAATAAGAAATATATTGTCTTATGCTACATATGACTTATGTAATGGAGGTATATGTGTAGTTGAACAAGAATGAATTACAAAGTAAAAAATAACTACTTTAGAAAAAATTCACAATCAAAATAATGGCCCTGGGGTTTGGATCACAGCTCTACTACATACTAGTATGGTGACCTTGGAGAAGTAATTAACCTCTTCGTGCCTCAATATCCCCATCTGTAAGGTGGGATAAAGGATAGACCTCCCTTACAGCGTTGATGTGAGAAGGGACTGAAACACAGCACTTAGAACACTTAGCACAGAGTGAGCCAGAAAT